CGGCACGTCGCTGTATGGGAACCCGCTGCTGCCGCCCCCAGCGCTCAGCGAAGCCAACAGGCCAGGTGAGGTGGGGTGAGCCATGCAGGGCCACGGTGGGTTTGAGAAGTGCTAGGTGACAATTAGGACTCCCCTGAGGGAGGAGGGTACCTGTCCTTGCTGGTGGGTGCTCCATTGACCCAGCATAGGAAAACGGTTGTTCTTCATGCAGGTAGATTTGCTGCCAGTGAGCATGGGTAAGGTGGTTCCTGTGTTTCAATCTGCCTGTAGATTATAATACAACCCCTTTTGTGGACTACACTAAGAACACCCTTGCCCCATCTCTCTGGAGCTGGCACAGCTCTACCAGATGAACGTTACTCCTCCTTGCCCATCAGTAGGCATGCTTAATAAGCCCTCATTAAATCTGTGTGAAACATCAGGTCATGTGAAGTGACAACTAGAGCATCCTGTCAGTTTTGTGCAAAGGAGAAAAGACCTGGTAGTAAGATTCTGACAGTTGTCTGCAGAAAAAGAATTACAAGCTAGATAGCTTTTAAAGAGGATTGAATGAGTAGGTGAGAGCTAAACAAACAATAATACTGTTAAAAAGCCCCAGAACATGTTTCACTTCTTTCTAACCCTTCTGGAAAGGATCAGTTTTCCAAGACAAGTCTGAGCTCTTAGAGGTTTATTCCACAAATTCCATATAAACTTGAGAGCATTGTAGTTGATGCTGTGTAAGAAAGATACGAACATCTTGTTTTGCAATGCTCTGAGTCTGACTGAACTGTGAGCTGCTACCAGAAGAGCTGTCCTACTTCCCATTCCCTTGGTCGCACATGAACCATCATCTTCCTTACAGCTGATAGAGCAACTGTGTTGGTTCAGCACAATGATCTGAGGAGAAGACTCGAGCAGCCTTTTTATGGCTGGCTGTCAGGCCCGGGTGGTGCACCATGTGAGTGCAGAGCTGTAAGGCTCGGTGCGGGAGAAATAGCAGGACTGTGCGACCAGGAGAAGGGGAGAAGCTGAGAGTGGGTCTGCTTCCTGCAGCTTCAGCCCGCAGTTAGAACAGAGTAGGGTATTGTGATACTTACTCTCGGTTACTGTTTCAGAGTAGGAATTGTCATCTAATTCATGTGGTGGTTTCTAGGTGTGTGTAACTACACCTGTAATACCAAGAAACAAAATGAAATGTTTCAGAAGGGAAAGAAGTGATTTCAATACGGAGGCTAGGAAGCATTTAAATTGAAGATTTGGTGTTGTTAAGACTAAGATGAGTCATGCCAGACCTCTTCAATGAAATCTGGTCTGACTGATGTAACACAGGCCATTGGTAGAGTAAATCCTAAGAAAGATACAGCCTTTTAATTTTTGGCCTCTGTTTTTATGGGTGCAGTTTTAGAGAGCTTTTGCTTTAGGAGTCTCTGTTTCTAGAAAGACAGAACAAGGAAAACATCATTTTTATATGCAGTCAAGTTCTGACAGGCTGACAATTTACTGTGCGCACTGTACTGACTCTTTAGAGGCATGTCTTTGCTGTAAATGTGAGGTAATTTGATAGATAAAAGATATTTTTGTTTGCGAAGCGTCAATATGTTCCAAATGTCTCGCAACACGTAACTCTGTGTTAAACATCCAGGAACAATTCCTGTAAAGCAACCGGTGCTTCCTAACTTGGCAGCCTGTGGTGCCTTGTTTATGTGTTAAAACTAGATAATCTTAATTTCCCGATCCAAAGGTAAAATATAAACAAAGGAATTCTCATCCTTCTGTTCATTCTCTGTTTGTATATGGTAAAAACATTGAATAGGAAATAAACAGTCCTATACATTAACTCTTACTGAATTTTCAGGACTAGGTGGTATTTATTTAGTGATTCTTAATGATTTAATATGAACTTGCAGAATCATGACTGTTACCCATTTCTCGAATTAGTTCCCATCAGAGGAGTGAAAGAGGTGAATGTGAGGCTTTAAGAAGTCCTTTAGAGCAAGAATTGGGAACTACGGGTCTGAGAAAGCCTGACTTCTAGATAAATCCCGTTAATGTAAACTGTCCTGAAACTTATAATTAGCATGGCACTGCGGAAAACTCACAAACGCAGTAGTTCCTTTAGGAATTCGATGAGCATAGGCGTTCTCAGTGTTACCATCAGTGTTTCAACAAAGTCACCAAAACCCCTAATAAAAATTGGGCTGTCATGGTATAAGAGCAAATACCATTTCATGAAATAATGACTGAGAGAGGAAACTAAGAGAAGAAGAAATGGAATATCTAGGAAATAACAAAATGGCAAAGTTTGGGATATTTTAGTCTAAACTGAACTAGTTGAGCTGACTGGAAAAAAGTTGGCTTTGAATTTTTTTTCTTGACAAATTAAATGATTTGTCATAAAGTACTTTCAAAGTCATTTGGAGGATTTTGACCTTGCCATTCCCTTAGCTTTCTATGATGTCAGCACTGGAGTTTGGTAAAGTCTTGCTTTATGATTTATGATTTTTTTTTTAAAGTATTGTCTGAGTTAATACACAGTCCTTTCTAAATTACTTTGGTTTAGTAAGTTACTACACATTTTGATTTATAGTATGTTTCTAAATACTGATAACTTGTTTAAGGAGATTGAATGCTACATAGACAATGGTGTGTTGCACTGCAGCAGTTACTGTATGTTCGGGTGTAAGAATACAGTCTGTTTCTGGATTAAGTATATTGGAGCAAAGGTGGTCTTCCCAGATAACGTTGTAGAGCCTGGGCTCATCATGTTGCCTTTCATTGCCTGTGGTAACTCCTTTCCTTAACACTTGTTTCACTTTATTTTGTACCCACTGCAGGACTGGTGACTGTAGGACAGTTTCGTCAACCTTATCATCAAGATGGTATCTATCCTTACGTGTCAACCTCATCCCAGAACCATGGCACTTTACCCGCAAACAGTTTAGATCAGACTCCAGTCTCTTCCAGGACATGGCAGGGTTCTTTTGGGTTGCTTCCAGGACATGCAGCTTCCCCAGTTTTTCCACATAAAGAGGTTACCTTTCCATCACTCAAGAGGTTTCCAACAGAGGTCACGTACACAGTCCTGCCTGCTGCCTCTCTGCCAATTCTGCAAGGGTCTCAAACCAATGCCGCTTTCCTTCCAAAAAACAGCAGCAACGCATCTTCAATGCCGTACTCACAAGCCAATTGTCCAACAGGTATGAAAAAAATTTTTGCACTTGCTTTTCAAAAAGATATTGAAGAGTGATACTTTTAAATATTTTTCTATAATGCTCTGTCATGCGTATATCTCAAGTGAGAATTAGACAGAAAATGTAAAGTCTAAAAGGAAGAGAGACCTTTAAAGCAAAAAGATTTTCTGTTTGGTATTGCTGTCCTTCCTCCAGATTTTGAGCATCCCCTGGTGATTTTCCAGATTGCCTCTCTATTGAGGTTAAAGGGCAAGGAGAAAAACATTTGTCCACAGCTAGTCAGTGTTAGGCTAACTTTCATATCTTTTTTCAATTAAACAAGACTAGGACAATGATACTAAAGCATTGAGACCTTGTTGAAAAGTAGTATACTAGTCCTTGGTCTCATGTTTTCCCAGGTTAAGTTTTAGAAGTCAAAGATCAGTCAAAAGTATTGTGTAAAATATTTCATTCCACTCATACTATTTTCATATCTTAATTTTTTTTTCTTGCTTAGCTTCTTTAAGTGGGTTTTTTTTAATGCACTGAAGACTAGAAAGTACAAAAGTCTTAACTACTTACTTTTGTCTGAAGTATTTCTGCTAAAATTTTCAGTCTCACTTAAATGTTTTTATTCTTCAGAAGAGAAGTTGAAGCAAATTATTGTTCTTTTCCTTGCTCTTACCTTGAATTGAAAAAATTATGTCATAGGTTATTTTGGGGGGGGGGTCATAACATTTTTTAAATTTTCCTAAAACTTCTGAAACTCAGAACATAGTGACTCCTTCCTTCAACAAACTAAAGCTCAGTTGTTATTGTTTCCTTCCTGCCTTGGCAGCTGCACCTTCACTAAGGTAGACATCCCTGTCTAGAAATCCTACACGTAGTGGCTGCTTTCTCCAAGTACAGAGCAGAATCTTCACATCTTTTGTTTGTGGCTTCTGAGACCTCTGCGGAGAACGTTTCAGACAATATTCACTAGTTTCCATAATACCATTTTTTATCAAGGAAAGATTCTGAGGATTGTGAGGAGCTAGCCATCTCTTGTGGACACTCTTAAATGTTTAAGAGACAGGCAACTTTTGCCAGATGCTCCTTGCCCTGTGTTACAGAGATACTGAGGTGGCTAGTGCCTGCACTACAAGCTGCAAACTGTTAAGTCTCCTCCAATAAGCAGAGTGTCCTGAGAATCCTAGAATGGGTTGGATTGGAAGAGACCTTAGAGATCATCTAGTTCCAACCCCCCTGCCAAGGGCCGGGACACCTTCCACTAGGTTGAGGTTGCTCAAAGCCTAATCCCGAATATCTGCTTAAGGTGGAAGATGGTCCCTACTTCATGTTTCTAGTGGTTACAAAGCATATCCTGGAATTCATCTTACTGAATTTTAGATGTCTGTATCTCACCAGTCCCCCAGACCTCATCTATAGTCAAGGGAAGGAGATGGGCATCTCTGTGGTACGATTTGTGTAGCTTGGTTTGTAATTTGTCTTGGAGTGAGCTTACTCATGTCCTGGAAGTATCTATTTTGCAGTACTGACTGTAGTGGAGTTGAGGGAGACTAGCGTAGATTTAGACATGAATATGTAGATCTCTATAACTGGATGACGCTAGTCTCTCTCACTGGAGTTATAAAAGTTTAAAGAATAAATTGGGTATGTTGTATAGATAAATCTTCCAGGCAGGAGGTGGGGGGGGGAGAGCATGATGAAAGCATACCAGATTTTGTAAGGACAAAAATTAAGGTGTAATTCAGACTAAAATAGAGAAACGTATGGAATCTGAGACTTTTGAAAACTCCAGTGAATTAATTAGTACTTCTGAGAAGGTAAGTTTGACATTTCACTAGAAAGCATTATAAATCTTTTAATTTTCACTGTGACTTAGGACTGTCTCAGTGTTTTTAGTTCTGTTCCTGTGTATCTCTTAATCTCTCCACTATCCTTTCTTCTGTATATTATAACATACAGAATGCCGAAAGCTTATTTCTTCATATGTCCACATGAAAAAGTCTGCTTTCCTTCATCTTGAGAGCACAGAAGCAAGATTAGCTTATTTGGAAAGTGATAGTTAATCTTAAACTACATATTTCATAAGTGAGGGAACTAAAGAATGTATGTTCAATCTTATTCTTGTCTCTTCATTTCACTTTTGAAGTCCCATTAAATTAAATCAAAGTAGAACTTTGTCATAAGATTTCTTTTTATGTATATTCAAACTTGTTTGTTAACTGCAGTGACAAAAAGATTTCCCTGTTTTTTCATTATGATTCTTATTGAAAAGGCAGTAAACGAAAAGATGCTCATTTGGATCTTTTTTCCTGCTAGCATTAGATCATAATTATTGTAAGAATTTAGTTCTGTTTGCTTTCAACTATCTGCAAAACCTTTGATAGTACTAGGATCACATCAAAGAAATGTAGTGAAGCTTTATTATCAGAGTGCGTCCTAATAATGAAAAATCAGTCAAGGAGACTGTGAGAAATGTTAGTTATTGGTGTCACCTGACATGGCAGGTCCAATTGTGCCTTTCAAATACATCTGTGGCTGTAGGGTTCATTTACATATGATAACCTTTCTGGTGAGTGGTAGCTTAGGAGTAGTCATGTTATTCTGAATGATACACCCTCTGTTAAGATAAATAATTTTCTTTGTACATAAGGCTTAAAATACCCATATATGTTGGTCAAAAGGGGAATCTTTAAATAAATAAGCAGCTGAAAACATACCTGTTTTAACACACCATAAATAGCACCATATTTTCCCTTGAGAAAAGCAGACTAGATGCATTAGTAATGCACTTGTAAAACTAGTAGTAGGATTCATCTTGCCAAAGATTCATCTGAATGTATAATAGTTAGTTGTATATGCCTGGGCTTGTCATCTAGATTACATATATAGCCAGCAGAGAGAAACAGGCACCTCCCAGAGGTTGAGTCATTCCAACTTTCTTAGACGTATGCCTTTGGAAGACAATTCATTTCTTTCTCATGAGCCTGTTTCTTCATTGACTGTGCAGAGAGTCGACAACTGCTAGAAATCTGAGTCTGTGTAGGAGTAAGGCACTCAATCCCACCTAGATGTATAACTTCAAACAATGTCCTCTTTCCCATTTTCCCTTAATGAAGAGACCTCGGGTATCATCCTCATTTTCATCAGTCTTTTGATTGGTAAAGGATCAGAGCTTGCACAGTTTTGTATTCAGGCCCATTCCGATGTGTTCATTGATCTGGCAGAAACAGGCACAGCTGCATTCCCTAATTCCGTGCACAGCTTTGAGTACTGTTGACCCAGTTGTCTGATGAGTAACTAGCTTCTCATAGGCATAACTTTTGGACTTGATGTGGTAAGTTCACACTGAAAAGATGGTCTTAAGGTTCTTCCTTGGTATTTCACATGTAGCGCGTGCTTGAGTGGAACGGAAGATGCTGGAGAGTGTCAGTCTCATCCCCTTTGGCCCAGCTTAGCTGATAAGAATGCTTATTAATTAATGTCTTGAATCCATAGAGATGGTACATGTGTTCCTTTGATTTCCAACAGATCTTTGGAGAAATGGTGGTGGTTGTTCCAGCTTGGGAAAGATCTGTGGCTGATCATCTTGGGTTTGCATTCACTTTTGGGCTTTCAGCTTTCTTGAGTTTGTGTGTAGTATTGGAACCTGTGAAAAACACGCAGTACAAACATAGACACGTCGAACTGTAAGAATGGAGCTTTTTTGATGTTCTTAGATTTTATTTATATTTAGGTTCTAACTTCCAGATATATTTGGGAAGATATATCTTTGCTAAAACTATGGCTAAGCTCAAGCGTATCCGTCTGTATCTATGCTACTGTATTAAACTTTGCCAGGAAAAGTGCCTGGGTGTTTTGATCAGCTCAGTCATTAGACTGTTAGCCTGGTTAGCGCTCTCCCCCAAAAGTGCTGTGCTTAGTTCAGTGGTTGACGTGGGCTTGGGACCGTTCCCAACAGACTGTTTGGATGTGGCGGTTTTGACTTGGAAGAGTAAGGGATTTTAATAGGATTAACAAATTCCGTGCCAGAGCCTGGATGTGGATGCCTTTGGTTTACTGATCGAGCTGTAGCCTTTGTGTCTTCAGCAAAGATTATGATTGATTTGTTCTTCTCTACTGAAACATTGAGAGCCTGCAAAACAATATTGTCTCAAGAGGAAGGAGAGGTATATAAAAATGTGATGTTAATTTCATGTGCTTATTTTTATACAATTCATCCAATTTTTCTAGTGTTGAGAATACAGGATTTAGTGAGTGCCTCAGTAATTCCCTAGTGAATAGTTCTCTGCTGTGGAGATAAGAATACTACCCTGGATCAGCCCAGATGTCCATATAGCTCATCATTTCCTCCTACAGTAACGCCCAGGGAGGAGTGCAGGAGCAGAGCAAGCATGGACTGATGCTTTTCCAAAATACTCCCAACAGTGTGGGCTCAGGGAATTGATAAACCATAACACGAGTTGTATTTTGTAGCCTTTGGTGGATTTCCCTTCCAGGAGCTGGTCTGTTTCTCCCAACCAACGCAGGCTTGTGGCACACACAACATCTCTGATGAGGCCTTCATTTCACAGCTAATTGCATTTTGTGCGGAGAGCCACCTTATCTTGTCTCTTTTGACCCTACCACGTATTCATTAAATCTCCATTTGGTTTTTGTGTGAACGTGTGTATATCCATGTCCCTCTCACTGCACCATTCATAATTTTAAATATTTCTATCTTGGCTCCTTCAGTTGCATTTTCCGTGGAATGAGGAATCCTGCCACACTTAGCTGTTCCTTCAGCTGTTCTGTACATCATCCGTGTTGCCTTCCCCGTAACCTGTTATTTTCTTGTTGAAATGTAGAGTCCAAAAATATACATGGTGATCAAAGTATGAGTGAATCATGAATTTACACTGTGAAGTAATATCATTCTATTTCATTCTCAGTTCCCTTTTTCTATTATTTCCTAACAATCTGATTGTTTCATTTATGACTTTGGAGGTCTTTTTGATAGCTGCTGAGTGTCAAGCCAACATCTTCCTGAAACTATCTACTATAATACCAAGATCTAGTTCCTGATGATTGATTGACAACTAAGAGCCCATCATTTTCTGTGTGAAATTAGTTTATTTTTCCTAAATGCAGAGCTTTGTCTGGTGAGTGGTAACTTTGGAAAACTCATAAGGCAGTGGGTTTTTTTCACATCTTCATAGCTGACTGATCTTTTCTGACATGAATAACCCGGTATTATCAGCAAGCATCGCCTCACTGCTCACTCACTCCATTTTTAAAGTATTGTATTAAAATGATGAGCAGCATGAGTTCCAGTGCAGGTCCTTGGGAACCTCAGCAGGTGACCTCACTCTTGTCTTCTGTGTTGTATCTTTAAAACAGATTATTTTTTAAATGTGCAGCCTTCCTTTTCATGCTGCTGTTGCTCACTTTTTGTAAGAGTTTCTGATGATCACTTTGTTAAAAGCTTTTGTGAAATCTAAATATCATATCAGCAAGATCAGATCATGTCTGTTTACCTACTGGAGGCCTTTCAAGAGGGCAATGAAGGGTGACTTCTCTTAAACAAAAAGAAGTCTTGTTGACTCCTCCCCATTATAGATTATCTAGTGTCAACTAATTCTCTATTCTATTGTATTGCCTTCTGATTTTTCTTATTGAACTGTCAGATTTATGACTTGTATTTGCTCATAATTTGTTGTTAACATGCTTCTAAATAACTTCCTTTAAATGTATTGATTTCTTTCCCTGATTTCTTTGCAACCCCTTTGGATATCCAAAGATATTTTCAGTATGTTTAAAATATGGTCATTTGACTTCTGTACAAGAACATTTCTGATGCAGAGTGTTCAGTCCTTTCCTTGTTCTGTGAACTGTGCTCTTCATTGATCTCTGCTTGTTCTCAGGGGTTGGCTATAGCCCCGCTGACAGCGGTTCCATTTCCATTAATCAGTGTTCATATTCTGCATATTGTGTCCTAAAGCATGTGTGTGAAGTTTTCCATCCATAGCTTGTATGGGCAGAAGTACGTCTCTCTTTTGGCAGAAACTGAATCTATTTTGAGGCTGATCCATCTTGTTTGATAGAAGAGGCTGTATCTTTTTCTTCATTTATTCAGTATTCATTTATTCTGTAAGATGCCATTCATCCTTGTCTCCTTAGTATTCAAATGAGATCCTTGTTCACTGTCAGTTATTTCATAACAGCCGGTGACAGAATGTGCTTTAGCTAGTAATTTCTTCTGGGTATGACTAGATTAACTATACCTTGGACAAAAGAGCTTAGAAATTTCTTTTCTTCAATTAACAGGGTAGGACAAAAGCTTGTGAGTGAAACAGGTACGTTTGGTGAATCTTGATTCAATTGGAAGATGTGAAGTATTATAAATGAATCAACACCTTCACCTTTGATAACACTGCCCATCAGTAGATGCTTTCTTCAGTGTTGTTTAAAAAGCTGTTTGGATATATGATGACTCTCCTTTTGTGACTATGGGTGATAAGTGGTACTTATCTAAAATTGGCCTCCATCTTACGGGGGATTTGCTTCTTAACTGACTACCATTAAGACTATGTCTGTGTCTCCCGTGGTGTTTCCACAGATGCAGTTGTTCTTGCTATTAGATCAGTCACTGCTATAGCCTATGAGCTGGCAAAAGAAAAGATCTTGTGAGAGCAAACCATTCTTTTTATGCAACATTCTGCATTTCAGAACCATTCAGAGTCAGTCATCAGTCTGGACTGCTACACTTATTTTTGTTCTCCTCACTTTGATTTACAAACATTAAAATTTGTTTGATTAACAAGTTGCTTTTGCTAAAAGCTCTACTTACTGTAAGAATGCTGTCATTTGTATTTTACTTGTAGCTTTTTATAGCTTGTGATCTGGACTTAATGTTTTGCATTTACCTGGGATTTCACAAGCACTTTTTCCCTTCAGGTCTTTCCTTTTCTTTTCTTAGAAAACAGGTTCTTTGTAATATGTGTTTGATTTTCCTTAGAATCACTCTAGCAGGTTACCAGAAATTTCTCCTTTGTCATTGTTCTCTTGCATTGTTTTTACAATAGCCCTTCAAAAGTTTTCTTTGGTGGTTTTCTTGGGTTTGTAAATGTACTTTGGAGTTTCAGTTGAGTGAAACCCAGATATTGTTTAGGTTTTTTGCAATATCCAGAACTGTAATATGTTCAGAGGTCATAGAATGTTCTTCTGAAAGATGTCCAGATTTCATCATAAAGTTACCTAGAATTAGCTTTTGAAGTCACGAGTCATACACATATCTCACGCTTCTTTAGAAGGATGCCCACTAGCTCTTTCTGTGTTGCTTAGCTCCCGTGTTTGTTGCTCCAAACTGCACAACAATTCAGCAACATCATATTAAACAGGGCCATGGGTATAGGTATTAAAAACCTGTACTGGTTATCATAACAACTGTCTCATGTGAAATCCAGTGTAAGTGTCAAGCATTGCAAATAAATCGATCTGATCTGTTTGCCATCTCAAGTTATACTTATTACATTTACTGATTACGAACGTTGGACTAAATTTGATTTCGTTGAGGATTTCTCTCTCTCTCAGAATGATTACAGATTTTAAAGATTATCTGTCCTGCAAAGAATGCCTTCACTTTTAAATTATCTCTGTGTGTCACCAAAAAATAATACCTGCAGAATACTACCTCATTGACAAAGTTGCTTTTTAGAATAAAATCACTGTTTAATTTCAGAGTGTATGTGTGTGTGTGTATAAACATGCAGACTCTTCCTATGTGAATCCACTTTGTGATATGTTGTGATGAGAAAGTCAAGCAGCCAAATCAAAAAGGTGATATCAAGATACAAAAGACTCTGATTATGAAGTTTCTATGTGTGTATATCAATTTTACAGTATATATATTTTACATATGCACACATATATTAGAATAAATATTTTTAAGATGAAGAAATCAGTCTTAAAATCACTTGGGAGGTAATAATACATTTCTGGAATTCAGCTTACTGTGTGAATATTGAAATGTTTAATTAAAGCAAGCAATAGAACTCTGCATACCAAACACAAATTCTAGAAGTGTGATAACTGTGTTTGAATTCTTGCAGCTGCACTGCAGCATTGTTCACCACCTGCCCACATAGATCCTCTGACCAGCTATGCTAGTCCTGCAGCTTCGACGTACACCCAGTGCAGCTTTTTCCAGGTGAGTGTAGCATACTGAAACTGGGTGAAAGCAGAGGAGACCATATGAATGAACTGTAGGTTTATGGATTTCTGGAGTGAAGGATATAAATTGGAAAATTCATCTGCTTGAGGAAGCGACAGTAATGTGGTTTACACATATCTATTCAATACAATCAAAGAATCACTGAACATCAGTCACGTAGTTTTGTAATTCAAGTTAGGTTTCAGGGGAGCAGCATAGTGGGTGTCTTCATCAGTGGAGTGTTTTTTCTGTATAATTTTTTTGCCTGACTTCACCAGAATAATTCATTTTAGTTAATGAGTCCACGTTTATGTTTTAAGAATGTCCCTGCCTGGACAAAAAGAGATTCTTTAATATTATTAAAATACTGGGAAACAGCTCCACTTTTTTTTGTCCCAGACAGCTTTCTGGAGTCCTGAGTTTGATTTGATGAATGAGAAAAACTAAGGTGACTTTTGGAATTGGCCCCACCTCAGAGATGTCTTATTAAAGATAACTACAGTACTTAATGTACATGCTTTATATAATTCTGGTGGAAACTGCACCTTATTTGGAGGGCCTGGCTTGTCAAATATCAAAAGATCTGAAGTACAAATGCAAGGGCTTACTTTTCTATTACAGTGTAATGCGTATACTTTTTTTTTTTTTCCTCACAGAGGTACAAGCAAAGCAAGTTATGCTTATGTGTGTTGAAAAAGGGTTCACCTACCCAAGCTTGATCATCCAGTTTTCTGTCTTGCAAATATCAACCTTTGTCTTTTATTCATGATTTTTTTTAATATAAACTTATCCAAGATGGCCAGGTTATGGCCAGGATAACATGTTGGTGTAAGGATATAAATAGCCAACAGCCAGAGTCATGCCATTGATACTCCGGTATTTATTTTTCACACAGTGCATCTTTGTCATCTCACTTTCATCATGAGTTTCTTTTTCATCCAGGACATGAGGATCGGTCTGAATGATGGAAGTCACCATCAAATAACTTATCTCCGAAGGCTGAGATCAATGTTTGGGATAGCAAATCATTCCAAAGGAGTCGTCAAGGGTGGTGGTGTGGCTGGATTGAAAGATAATATAAAGACACTGTCCAAAGGGTCTAGTAAAAATCAGTTGTTTGGAGAAGCAAGTCTATGGGCAGTGTGTGGAGTCAAAAGAGATTTAGGCCACTTACTAGTGGTGGCTTTGATAATGCAACTCTGTCAGGGAACTCCCAGTCAAAAGCTGCTGGTGCATCTGGGCAGAGGCTGCTGGAAAGTAAAGCTCCGTGTGAGCCGCTCAGAGGCAAGCAGTGGCGTAAATCTGTCCTACCAGGTCAGTAACTGGCTGTTTCTGAGCAGGATTATGCAAAAGTCATACAGAATGGATCAACAAGGCCAGTAAGTAAATGTCTGCCTCCAGAAAAATGTCTGCTCTCCAGAAAAAGCTGCAGAGAATTACTGCATGGAACAGCAAGGGGATATAGCTGGTTCTACCCAGACATAGTGGCTGATTAGAGTATATCTCTAGTCAGGTCTCTGAAATCAAAGTTTCAGAGATTTGTATTACGCTCTCGTCACAATTAGTTACAAATTGGGAGCTCAGGTACAGCTTCATACTCCAGTTGGGTTCTCCTGAAGTGGGGTGTAGATCAGTGTGATGAATCAGTATCCGTGGATAGGAATCAGTCTTGTGAGAGAAAGCTCCTGCTGTCTTCTGCAACAGCAGTTCTACCAACTCATAACCATTCAGGCAGTGTTTCCCTGCTGCTTTATCATAGGTGTGAACCGAGGCTACGTACTGGATTTTAGTGATTTTTTTTTTAAACTAGCAGCCTGGCTATTTGATTGTAGCTATTAGCATTGTTATTAAGCTGACAGTATTTCCTTGTGGAACTGGTAAAAGGTAACTGGAAATGGAAGAAATAAATGTGAGAGAAAAAAGAAGAAAAACTGTCCTGACTTTAAAAGCAGTCCTGAGGAGTTTGCTTTTATTTGTAATAAGAAAGATAATCAGCCATGTTATTTCAAAATGAAATTGAATCCGAACTACTTTTGAATGATTGTCCAAACACTCAAGCCAGATTGTTTTAGTCCTAGCAGTCCCTGAAAAGGCGTGGTTGTGCTTTACTTCTTGCATATGCTGTGCTAATCTTAGAAGTGAAATGCCCATCTTCCATCTTCCCTTTCACCACTTTTGCTAAATTAGACCATTTTTCCTCTTGAGTTTAAATGACTGGCAAACTATTAGTCTTTTGAATCCTGACTTCTCCATCTTTTATCACTTTTCATTGTTTCATTGCTGCCACCCTCCCATCCTTGTCTGTCACATCTTCTCTACATAAACTGAAAGGATTTAAGTTGTATCTTTGTGGGGGTGCTTTCTCCTATTGGAAAGGCGTATGAGATCCTGTAGTTCATCCAAGAAGACGATATGTGTTACAAACGCTTCAAGCTGAGGTTCCCTAAGAAGAGGCAGAAGAAGTTGCAGTGTGGGTTTGTTGGTTTGTTTGTTTGTTTGTTTGTTTGTTTGTTTTTCACAGGGATGATCTCATCCCTGGACAGTTGACTTGGTAATCCAGATCTTACTTAAAATCCTGGCTACTTAAGACAGTAAACAAGCAATTCAACAAAAGTGAAACACCTTGTTGATATTTAAAAAAATACAACTGAAAAAATATTAAATGAAAGGGCCTATGTTTAAACCTATATCATAATATAAAGGTGGCTTGCCTTTAATGAAAAGACTTTGCTTAACCTACATTTCTCAAATTCCAGGTTTTATCTTCCCCTCCCTTTCCCCCAACCCGCCACGGTTTATGGCTATCTGCAGACTGGCACATCTACATGAATCCACAACATGACTTGACTTCCTACACCCAGAGGAAGGGATCTCATCTCTTTGTGGTATTTCCTTCAGGCACTTCTGATGTTCATGCTGCTGGGAGACCAAGTCCTTCACTGGCATTTGATCTGATATGGCTTTCCTAGTAGGTGATTCTGTGGCTTCCTGTTTTCTTAATTTATTCATCTATGGAAGTAGCTTTTTATTAACCATTACCTCAGCTTGAAGGTCTGAGGATAATCAAGCACTAAGGACTAATCCTTCATACTAGATCTCTTCTAAAATAAGATTGTATTTTAAATATACCTGAGTTTCTGTTCAACATCATTATATGGCTTGTATTTGTCAGAAGAAATTACCCTTCCAGTGTCCTTTAACTCTGAGTCATCTCCAGAAGAAATAGCAGTACAGACACTGACTGTTAAAATGTGATATATCATTTCACTTGAGGAGGACTTGCTGCTTTTGAAAAACTCTTCATTGTCTTCTTTCTGCTTTAAACATTCTTTGATTTGTGTTAGTTCTACTAAAAAAATTATCATTGGATTGCTGACTGTGTCCTGTCATCTTGTGACGTCATTGCAGTGAAATATTTCAGTATCTTTCAGATGGCAAAGGCAGCCTCTACAGGTTCTCCCAGAAGTGTTTCTGACCTGAAGATCTATAGGGCTTTTATACACATTTGTGTAGACTTTGAGTTGTGCATTTGTGGGACGCTGTGTCGTGCCAGGAGTGTCCAGATGTGAGGCTGTGACAGGGCAGTTCTACAGTTACTTGTTTTCATAGGTATCCGAACTCCCATTCAGTTTGGTACTGGAGCATCCCTGGGAATCACCCCTTGTGTGGATGCGTATATAGACAATCACTTGAAGAGGAAAAAGATATTATTGGTAAGTAACTGAGTTCCTCAAGTCGTGTTGTCCATATGCACATTTACAGCATACGTACCTTTTTCTCTTGCTTAAAAATCTTGTGGTTTGTGCTGTTTTTATACGCTACAGGAATGTTTGAGTTTTAGAAGAGCTGAAGGCGGGGAGATTTGGTCTATTATTTTCTATCACATATGTGGTGTGCGAAGGGTCATACTAAGACTAGAAGTCTCTGGTTTGAATGCTTGGGTGCAAGGGTATGCAGACAACGCATCTGAAGGAGTACACAGCTACTCTTAAGTAACCTTCCCTTCTCTCCAGGATAGACAGTGAATAGAAGAAAGCAAGCGTGTCAAGAGTAAGGTGGTTAATGAAAACCAGGACAAAGTAGTAGGTAGTAGAAAATAACAGACAATCTTTCAAGCTTTTGGATAAACAAATGCTTCAGTTCAGGTTCACTTCCAAAGCCTCACAGAACCAGTACACATCCTGTCACTGTAATGTTTTGTTATACAAGTTCACTCTATTTTGTCTCTTCCAGAGTCCTCCAATGCAGTCACCTTATGCAGCTGAATTTCTGCCCCCTAACTTGCCTTGTAATACATCTGATGAAAATGTGAAGCCAGATTTAAATCTTGAAGCTGCGTTTCAGATTGTTGATGAGATGCATTTGTCACCCGAAGATGGACTGGTGAAAGCGGAACCTGTGGAGATCCAGTATTCAACCTCTCAGTCTAACGGAAGTCAGCCACTGCAGGTTAATAGTGAGAATAGTGATACACCTTTGATGGAAGAAAGCCAGCTGGAATATCTTACTCCTGTAGTTTCAGACTTATCATTTATGGTGGAAGCAGATCAAGCAGTAATTTGTTCTCCATCACAGCCTGCTGAATTTCTTTGTGCTACCCATACCACTGTGCCTGTAGAAAGTGCTGCTGCTGAAATAGTGCAAGAATCTGTGACCACACAGGAAGGGTGTGAAAAACTGCAAGAACAACCACATCACTGCCCAACTCAACCCTCTGTAATGTTTGCTCTGGAAGGACCATTCATTCCAGAGCAGGTAAGTGGTAAAGGAAGATAAAAACCTGTCTTTTGTGAGATAACTATATTCAGTGGTAATGGTAGGGTCTGGACTTATGGCTTTTCAATACTCTTCCCTGCCTAAGAACTAAATGCTTCTTTAATTAAGGCTTTAAGGGACAGTGAAGGGTTTGCTTGGTAAGGCAAGAATTAAAAAAGAAGAGGGAATGAAAAAGTATCCCACGTTAATGACCATAAGAGGGGTTGGCCAAGTTAGGGTGCTCATTTGCATGGGAAAAAAACAGAGTGCAGGTGTATTCATGGTGATGAAGTAGAAACTTTTTTTAGGTTATAACATGCTATCTTTAATCTTAAATAAAAAAGACTATTTTGAGAATTGCCACTGAAGGCAAAGCTTTTTGTTTAAAATGTAGATAAATGGTTAGATTGTTATTGATAAACAGTTATTGAGTTTCTGTTTTCTTTGGAAAGCATAATTTATTGACATTTGAATAGTATAAAGCATCTTCATTTGTTTATACTTTGTGGTGTCTGACAAGTTGTAATTGTACTTCATTTTACCTGTGCCTGATCTTCCCTGTATACGAAACTGTAAGTCTCGTGTGCGATGAGGGGCATTCTAGATGTTACTCTGTTAAGGCAGCAAATGTGTGCTATACTTTTTTTGTTTTGGAAACAATGTAAAAGCCAGAAATTGACTGCATGTGTTCCTGCTGCATGAGACCTACCTTGCATGTAGGCACACAAAATTTCATTTTTTTCTATGTGTTGAAGCTACTGTTCCATTGTGCTATTAGCATCTTGATGCGTTCAGTAAAGTTTATAGCTTGGAAATCCTCAGCTGGTGCAAACTTGATTGTTCTTAGTGATCTTCCTCTTGGGTATCTTTACAGAGAGAGAGGTATATTCTGATCAAGCCTCTGCAAAACTCAAGCCTAGACTAGACTGTTCTGCTCAGTGTACTGTGTAGAGAAGAGTACGTCCTTGTGCTACTGCCTGCAGAGTTGGCAGCACTCCTTAATGCCTGTCCACTCGTTATGTTAAGTGTTGACTGCACTTTAAACATTGTCAGTTTTGACAACTTTTGAAATGCATTTTTAGCAGTATATGTATCCGTTGTTGAAGGCCTTTGGAGGTTGTGGTCCAAACTCCCTTGTACTCCTGTCAGGCGTCTACGTAGTTTGCTGTCTTCCTTATCCCTGAATCTGGAAGCCACCTGAGGCTTTCAGTAGCTGTCAGTGCCACGTAATTCAGAGCAGGCTTGTGACAGAGTAGCGGCTGTGCACACAGAAGACAGTTTTACTCCTCCGTGTAGCAGCCCAGGAGGAGCAAATTCCTCCAGTGTTAATACAAGAACATCAAAACAGCTCTGCTGGGTCAGGTCAAAGGTCCATCTTGCCCAGTGTCAAGTCTCGGGACAATAGCTGTAATCTGATACTCAGGGAAGAGCAAGAACAAGGCGTGGAAATAGAACAGGGCATTCCTCCTTAAATTTTCCAACTACTTTCCACTGGAGAAGTTGGAATGATACCATATACTTAATCTTAGGTTTCTCTTCCATGGACTGAAGTCAGCCCTTGAAGCCATGTCAATTTTAGCATTCAGTATCCTTTGACCAAATAGATACTTTGCTCACCATCTATTGCACGCAGAGCTTCCTTTTGTTCCTTTTGAGCACGGCTGTTACGAGCTTCATGTGATGCTCCCTGGTTGCTGTCTCCGAAGAGACATTCAGCTGTCATCCCTGCCACTTCCTGCATGTCACTTGGGATTTTACAGATCTCTTATCACAGCCGCCTCAGTCGACTTTTTCCCCGACCATACAGCCCTGCTGTGGTTTCCTCCGCACAGCAGCTGCTCTGCACCTCTGGTTAGCTTTGGGTTTGTTCTCAACTCTTTCCATTTCTTCTACATCCGTTTTTGAAATGAAGAGAGCGTTGAAGTTGTGGGAAAACTATCCCTTTTTACAGTGGCACAAAGGTGTTTGCTGGTTTGTTCTCTATTTCTTTCACAGTATTTCATAGCATTTACTTGCTCTTGTGACAGCTACTGAGCCTTCAACTGTCCTCCTCGTAGAACTAACAATTTAGTAGAAACCTGTTTTATTCTGCTTTCCTGATTTCCTAAAAGATAGCAAATTAAAGAGCAATTCTTTACATGAAAAAAGTTAGTACAGTTAGTTCAGATCCAGCATTGTCCTCTAAGCCTCAGTGTATTCCAGTCCTAGACTTTTACAGGTTTTGGCCTTTAATGGGCATATTTTCTTCCACTCCTACTTATAAGAAATATTTTATTTTCTTCTTAAAGTGGAAATACAACATTTCTGTAATGCTTGATCGAGAGGAATTTGCCTCCTGTTTTGTTCATTCTCCTTGGCAGTATACCTATCTTGCTTTCTTTGGTGAAGGTTAATCCAGCAAACCCCATTCATGTGAATTGTTAATTTTAGTACCTTAGCTTCTCATCATGGTTCCAGCTGGGTATATGTATAGTCCGGTTGCTATCTTGTAAGTCACGTAACCTGTGAGATACAGCGGATTCGGCATTTTTCAATAATTAAATTGAAAAGGCAAAACTTTCACATCCGTCAGCTTTGGTAGCTTGCTTTGATTCTCTGCCAAACAACATTTGGGACTCTGAAATTGCAGCAGTACTAGGCCTGAGTGAAGAGTCTCTCCACAGATGTGGTAAATCCATGGCCAGAAGCATGTTCACTTAAAAAAACAAGCAAAAAAATGAGATAACTTGAGAATCAGATTTGTATGGATAGGCCGATCCTATTAGGATGAAAATCTTATTATTGCCTTTTTTATATTAGATTACTGAAGAGTTGGTGTGTAAGATCCTATAAACACAGTGATAAAAAGGAATCTGAAAGGGGTACTGAGCAGTACCATTGCTCTTCAGTTTCCACACACACACAACTGTATGGTTTAAAATTAGACACAGCATTGCAAGCACAGGTTCACCAGTGAGGGGGAAATGAAATTCCCCCAGTTTGCTGGCCCCGTGCGTCCCTGCGCAGCCCAGGGTGTCGTTGGCGTTACGGGGCACTGCAGCATCCCCACGTCCTTTGTAGAAGAACTCCTAGTCACCATGTAGGATAGTAATAATGTCTTAATAACAGTTATCCCAATATGCATTTGTTTTTTGTTTATCAAACAATGCATTTCTACATCCCCCTGTCTGATATTGCTCTTCAGTTCATAGTGTATCTATTTTTCTCTCTTTTTTTTTTTTAATAATGAAATTTGTAGAATTGTTTCTGGAACAGTTGTCCTGTGGAGTATGCAAATGAGGATGCTTGATTGAGAAATCTTCCCTTCTCTCACTAGTTGGTTAAGGCTGCTTACTAATTTTTCTAGAACTTACTATTATGTAAATGTCACCAGGAACGGAGAGGTTTAGATCATCACTCAGGAAATTTGGATTCCAGCGGGTGAAGGCAGTGAACTACAGTCCTCCTTCCTTCTCTTGGTTGTTGTGCCGAGGAAGGAGTTGAGGTTCAGGTGTTAGACAAAAGGCGTTGCTGGCCACATGGTTCCACTTGTTAACAATACTAATGCAATGCACACAGGCAGCTCATTTCAAAGAACAAACGCTCCAGTAAGGTGGCTATCTAGCAAGTACAGGAGGCACGTTGGGGGAAATAGCTCTCCCTGGGGTATTCAGTTACTGTATTCGCACAGGCCTTCCTTTTTAAATATGATTGTACAACTTTTTGACAAAGAATGTGTATGTATTTCTATTAATACGCATACACATTGCCTTTTATATATTTAACATTGAGTTACAACAGGCACAAGGCGGAGAGTGTGATTTTTGGAATGACTAATATCTTATTACCAAGTGTGATGACCTTTTATCTTCTGCAAACTCACACATACCAGTTTTCAAAAGCTTTTTTTCCTTAATAGAAAGAAATGTTGCAGGCTCTGAACAATCATTCATCTTTAGGATATTGATTGATAGGATATTTGCACAAGAGATGAATATTTAGAATAAGTGATAGTAAGAACACTTTTCTAAAGGTAAACTCGAAGTGCTTAAGGTTAGGCCTTTACTTCCTCAGTGGAACAGAAACATTCATTTCTATGAAATAGAAACTATAGAAATATTTGGCTTTTTTTTTTTTTTCCAAATCTACAGATTTTTGCCACATGATCATGGAAATATACCCGTTCAGTAAATGGTTGCCTGCAAAATACATATGGAGCAGCAGCAGAGGGCTCCAAAAAGCAAGCAACACGTTATAATTTAATGTCTTAACAATTGGGTGGGGTGGGGTGAGATTTCCAACCAGAAATGTGCAGCTTGCATGCGTAGTTTTGCATCACACAGCTCTGTCAAGTTGTTTGAGCTAGATCTGTCATTACTAATACATGTGCTGGTAACTATGAGTGCACCTGGATTTCTTCTAGCTTATTTCTTATAGCTAGTATGATAACAAAGCTCAGACTGTGAGGACATGTACCCTAACTTTATATATTCTAGTTTTCTGATTTCATGTTGTGCTTAGTATGATATTTTTTAAGAGGTTGCATTTCAGTTTGGCAACTTTAATTCTGAGTTAAAACACTTATTAAGTAAATCATCTAGGCAGTGTTCACAACTTGTTAGATACCCTTTTGGAGTGAGGAAGAATAGTAATTATTTTCTCCCTAAAATGATTACAATAAAATATTGAGTGATCTTTGTTTTTTGTGGTTTTTGTGTTTGTTTTTTTTTTTAAGGAGAATACTAGTGTGAAATATGAATTCAGTATGTCAGAGATAGAAGAGAGACAATTCACTGCAGGAACTGAGCCTGTGAACAAACCTGTAGAAGAGATGAATTCATCTGTAATACCTGGATGCAGGAAAAGACGACACAGTTCACACGACGACAAGTCCCTTGGTAAGAAGAGATTCTACATTTATTTTTTTTTTAGAGATTACTGAGACAGCTACTCTGAAACTAACTAACTGCTACAGAAAGGGGAGATCAGAATAGTTTAGTTACTGTCTGCAGTGTAAGTACTTGATTGCGCCTGCAGTTAAAATACTACACTGATACAACCTCTTAGTGTACTTACCAACACACTTACATAGATATGCTTACGCTAATTACTCTTATGTGGAAAAGGGTATAAATTATATTAGTAAATAAAACCTGAAGTTCTGGGAGTTGTGTCAGAAATCCGGATGTCACAATATTGGGATGAAGTCCGTAGATACGTTTGCTCGAGGGTGATGGTGCAATGAGATGATTATTGAAGTAACAGGGGAAAAAAACACCAAACTGATGAAGTTAGTGTAGAAGTCCAAACTTTTTGTCTCAGATCACTAAATAAATTTTGTACCGGTCTGCTGATACATATGCTGAAATACATGCAAAAAACATGCAGCCGGACATCTGAGGCCAAACAATTCAGAAATCTAGTAACTAAAGGGAAAACCTAAATGTCCGCAGATTAGTGAGACATAAGAGGACACAAAGAGTATTTGGGATCCGTTCTAGAGGAAAAGTTGGTGCAGCCTCCAAGTCTCATAAGAAGCTATTACCCTCACAGCTGTTCATCAAAGAGCTGATTGCAGAATTTGAAGAGCTGTTGCTCACTTCAAAGGGTAGTTTCTAGATTCCAGATAATGATGCTAGTTAATAATTCAGCTCATAACGCCCATCAGTTTCAAACATTTAAGTAAGGAATAAAGTCTTCTTGTCAGGAAGCTGAGAAGAAAGGCTGGATGCCTTCTTGAAAGAAGACAGGCTTTTGTTTAAAACACAGAATTGAGATTTCTTGTTCAATTATTTCCTGGTATCATGGATAATTAGCAAACTTTTCATATCTAAAGCACAACATTTGCTTAACATGCCAGTTGTAAAGTTATGTACAGGAACATTTTGGAAAGCATTTCCATGGGATTGTTCCACAGAGATGAAACACTGTTAGACTAATGTTAATTAGCAACAATTAGCGTAGAGTCTACTCTCTGGGAAATGTGATAGTCATCCAGGTCTACGTTTCCGCTGTTGTACCTCTTAGGCTTGGCGTACGTGTAGAGGGTAGAGGCCCAGCACACCTGGGCCAAACACGATCAGGCTCAAGTTGGCCCAAAATAAACTGGGCACATGATACGAGCCTCGAAGCTGCACAGTCCATCTCCTGCATTTCAGCTGTAAGCCTGAAGCAGACGGGTTTAAATATAAGCTGACTTCTGTTGCTCTGACTACATGGGTTTCTGCCAGTATCTCCTTTCCTTTGGAAACAACTTCTTCCTTAATCTTTCTGTGCTAAAATATTGCATCATGAAAATTTCCAGGTGTTTCTTCACAACTTAACTTACCCTCTGAAAGTGATTGAGTCCTGTCCATCTTCCTCTTTTCCTTTGGGTACTCATTTGTGAGTTTTCTGTGCCTGCACTTTGGTATGTGCCCTGCTATTTGTTCCATCTGTTTGAGTAGGCTGCTGACACAATTCACTTCTCTTTGTGGTGACACCAAGTTCTAGATACCACACAGCGAGAGCCGACATAACGTGGTACCAAAGGCCACTGCGATGAAGGTGGAAGGAAAAGTCATTTCTGTGACCTGGAGCAGCTCTGGGTCAAAACCAAGGTGATAATCTGTACAAATGAGCCAAGAATCAGACCCTCCTTTGTGAGGAAGGTGTTACTCTCTTTTGAGGAACTAGACCAGATTTCTTTGGCTTTTTGCAGCTATCTTGTAGCAAGAGAGACAGCTCTTGTCTTACTAAAATGCAGTCCCCAGAATTTCTCTCCACAGCTGCCAGCCCATCTCTGCAACACTGTAAATCAGTGAAATAGGTTATCTGTTTTCTTCAAATGCAAAACAATATACTTAACCAACTTTCTCAGCTAAATTCTAGTTTAGCAGTTTTAAGGACATCCTGCCAACCAGATGGCCAAGGTGAAGGGTCTCTCTAGTCCATTGTCCTGTCTCCAACAGCATCCTTGGCATTTTTCTACTATTAAGTAGAAAAGGCCTCGGTAAACTTTTCTTCAATTAATTTTTCTAGTCACTTTTCAAAGCCATGCAAACATTTAGCATCCCCTGTGGTTTTTGTAAGTTAATGTCATTAACATACCCTCCTCCTTGTTTGTTTTGAATGCAAGTGTTTACTTTAACCATACCTTTACTCCTCATGCTCTAATTGTCTTTGTACCTGACAATTTGGCAGAGGGACCCCATTTTCTTTGGTAGCAGCAGGAGAAGAACTATTTGTGAGTCCTCCTGGGAGTCAGAGGCTGCAACAGAGGGTGCAGAACTTAATTCAGCACTAAGATACATCATTGCAAATGAGCATAGGCTGTGTTATCTGTTCCCTTCCCGCTCTTTTTCTTGAGAGACAGTGGGTATGGCTCTCTAGTTCCGGGCGTGTTTATCACACTGAGCTGTGAGGGATAGCTCACCTTTCAGGGACTGCTTTTTTCAGTCCCAGGCTCACTCTTAGGACATAGTTTGAAGGTGCTGTTGATGCATCTTCTTGCTCTGCTACTTTCTAGTTGAGCTCATCTATAAAATGGGATTTTTGGAATAAATTTGTCTGCTTATGTTGGCAGCATCCACACTTGCAAGAGGAGTTCTTTAGGACTTCAGGAATGATCTCTGTAAATTCTTCATGTATCCTTCCCCATCTCCTGTGCATTGTACTCCACAGGTACACTCGGCTAGTGAATGTAGCTGTACTGGATCTAATATCTGTGGTTTGTGCCTCCTCTTCTAAAAGAGTATGTAAGAAAGTCCAGATTCTGATTGCAGAAATTTTTGTTTGCAGCCCTTCTTTCTGGCAATAGGGATCTCAGAGTGGACCAGGTGGAATTTGTTACTTCTGGATTTAAGCATTTAAGCTGATACTGATACATTAAGGAAAAAGCTTTCTTTCTCAGTGACTGGTCATCTATTTTTTGTGAGTTGTTTAGTCCTTCAAATAATCTGGCAACTTCCTCTAATATTTTTTTTGCTGCAGGAACACAGACATAATTCTGAGATGCTACTGACTCATACGAGTCCATCATTATCATGCTGCCAGGTGCCCTAGACATTTACCACCCATTCCCATGCCACTACCGTTGTGTCACTGTGCATTCCCTCTCTTTCACTGCAAGCTAAATAGATTCATAGGGGCAATTGCGAAGGGCGAATCTTCATTCAGGCAAGGTCTCCCATGCTATGATGTGTTCACTTGAACTGTTTCCTACATCTTCCAGACAAAAATAATTTCATTTAGTTCATTAGTGTTCCTAACAGGTCACAGTGAGACCTCTCTCCTACAAAGTGTTCAGAGCTAATGCGGGGACAGGCCTGGCCCTGAGGTCTTCAACATCTCCTGTCTGAAGCCCAGAGTGAAGTTGCTCTCAGGAGTTTGAACTGCAGCTTCTTGCTCCAGCTCAGTTGCCATTACCTTTACTTCATTATATATGCAGTGAAGGACTTTCAAACTACCTGTCCTGGCAGTCTGCTATTTCGGATGAGTGGATGTTAGACACTGTCTCCAAGCTTGACATAATTCCGAGTCGCACTGTTACTAGCTCCCTTATTTCTCCATCCGTCTGTGTTTTCAAGATTTGTTCCCAGCAGAGTCTGCTTTGGCAGGAGGCGAATCTCAGAAAGTGCAGAACTGGTGCCTGTTGGGCAGGAACTTTGTAGTACAGAAAAAGAACAAGGGCTGGAGTACTTTTCCTAAGATATGAACGTGTCTGTTTAGAGATTAAAGTTCACGTGGGTGACATTCGCAGTGGCAGTGCTGTTGGGACTGTATCGGGGTACTTGATGTGCAAGATCTGGCCATACAGTGGAAGTATTTCCATTTTGCTGCGGATCAAGCTAATTTTCAAAAGAGGAGTCTCTTGTTTGTCCCATCCGTGATGCCACAAGTTTTCTCTAGGATCTTGGCACCAGCTATGGCGTACTTTGAGGCAGTTGTGAATAGATGAAGGTATATGTCGCAAGCAGAATGGGCATTTCTGTGGGTCCTGCCAGGGTTTTACAGTAATTAACATTTGGCAGTTGGTATCCATGGTAGTGAGTGCACATATAGATAGTAATATATCGGGAAGAACGGGAGCGCTTTTCTTATAGTTAGTTTTGTTGTTGGTTTGTATTCACAGTTTTGCAAAATTAGAGTAATTCCTATTCTTTAAAGAGTAGGCCTCAAATTCTCAAGTTACAGTCTGCCTTTCAGGCCATATTTTATAGCACCTGATAGAAGTACAATTGCTCTGCACGCTGCCAAGTGAAACATATACAAGGACTGATATTTACTAAGTATTCCCTTTTCTTCCTAGATCTCCATCTGCTGATAGATACAGCTTGCAAGCGGGAGTACCATCCCAAGGAAGAAACAAGAGAGTGAGAAGTGGGTGACAAGTATGTGAAAATGTGCAGCAGCTGCCAGCTGGGTTCCCTTGTCGACTCCAGCGGCAGCGCTTCGCACACAACGGCCACTTCGGATCATTTCAGCTGTGTTTTTTAAAAAAAACCCTCTCTTTTTTTGCTCTCGTTTTAACTTTGTAGGTTATTAGTTGCTCTTACACTTCTGCCTTTATATTTTCTATCTGTTAAGTTATAAAGTAACTAGTGGTTAGAGTATTTAATACGAAATAATTACTTAGCTGTTTGTATTCTTTAGATATGAAAAGTCTGAACTTTCTGTAAACAGGAAGCCTTAAAGCCTTTTTTCAAAACTTTCTTAACTGGGAAGCCAATTGTTTTTAGTGCTGTATTTAGAAGCTTTTTATTTAACATCGTTGGAAGCTACAGTATCCTCAGCATAGATGGTGTTTGGTGCTCTCACTATCTTTGGTTGAAGTCATACTGTGGCCCTTCACTGGGAATTGTGTACGAAACAAAAGCATAGGAAAGTCACAAGATTCTGGGGCTGAATGGGTCAGGGATTTCAGGAGAGGAGCTATAGGAAAGATGAGCTAATTTTCTAAGTGATTAACCAGGAACTGCTCTTCCTTCCTAAACCAACGCTCTGTTTCAGCAGCAAGTGTATCTTTTCTGGTGGGTATCCATTACATAGGACAGCTGCTGATCTTTTACATTAATGGGGAATTCTTCTGTTTTAATAATTCTCTTTTTCTAACGGTATCTATAATAATAAGGTATTTGTAGTTTTAGTACTTTGTTTTAAATAGGTCTTTAAATGATATTTTTAACTTTTTAAATATGGTTGTCTTTATATTGATAGTAGATCTTAAGTTTTTAATAGCTATGCATTTGTATTTGTATAAGGATAAAGGGGACACATTCTATATTTATGTTGTTAGGAAAATACATGTAGAAGAGCACGTAAAATAGAAATTTAATTGCATGGTGATACTTCTATTATAATTAATTAGAGCCAGCCCTGAGCAAAGCACACAAGAAAGGAGCAGAGAGAATTTACCATTTCCCCCTCAGTTACACCCTCCAGAGCTCTGTGTAGCTTCCAGCTGTGGTCAGGAGCCCTAAGCCAACACTGAGCTGTAGGATGAACTGAGGTGAAACCTTTAGTTATTCACCAGCAGTCCAAACCAGACACAGGCAATCTGAGGATGCTTTTAGGTAGGGTGAGCGGCAGTGTTACCGTACTGACTGACCTCGGATTTGTCGCTCTATTATCTGTTAGGCTAGGTGCTTGCGTTCGACTCCTTCTCCTCAAATGAAACAACATGGAAAGCATTTCTAAATGAATGAGAGAGTTCAGGTAGTTGAAAGGAAAAGGCGTTTGATGACATTGCTGCAGCTTTGTCACCAGAGTTTGGTTTTGTGCTGCCCAGCTGATGTGGCTTGAGACCACTGGACGACGTGCATGGAAGCAGTGGACGGTCCGTGCATCCTGTGGTAGTTTGTGCCGTTGGTAGGAGCAGGGCTTGAGGGCATCGGTCTAGCCATCCTGGCTCCAAGGTGTAAGGAGAGGGAGATCTCGGGAATTCAGCCTTCACAAACTAGAGCTGCCGCTTCTTTAGGTGAAATAAAACACAAAGTGAACTTCGTAGGTTACCTTTCTTGCTCCTGGTTACCACCAAAAGATTGGATACTTTTAGAGATTTAAGTTAGGTGAGCCTTAGTGTTGTAATGCTTTATGATTCTAAAGACAAATGATGAAATCTTAGTATTAAAATTTTTTAATATGCTAATTTTAAAAGGTTATAGAGCTGGATCTCCTGCAGTACAGCAACTTTCTGAATACACATGCATGTAAACTCTATTTATTCTTAACCAACTCACTGACATACTGTGGGCGCAGGAGAAAGGGCACTCGCTACTTTAGGAAATTAGTATATATAGTATATATAGTATATATAGTGTATATATATAGTATTGTAGAAGGCCTCACAAGTCTTTAGATAGAATTTCTAGCATTTTAGGACCTTAACGTGGATGTAGTTTAGTCAGTAAATAATAATAAGTAACTTCTATAGCAGGATGTTTTTAACTATATTGTTGTTAATGGGAACAGGGTGGGATTTGTTTACCTTAGGATGTTCTTCTGTACCCCTGCTTAGGCAGCATGGTTGTAGCAATCTGTAATAAATTAAACTTTTGAACTGAAATGGGTGTTGCGCTTTTCTGTGTTTAAAATTACAAATGATAGAGTATCATAGTTGAAAAAAACGCTTCCCTTTTCAGTAGTTCTTGCTGACGCTTTTATCAACAAATAAGTTTAAAAAAGAAGTGGACCAGTTCTTTGTTTGGACCAATTCTTTGTTTGCATAATTTAGTAATTTCAGCGGAGTGACTCCAGGGATTAGTGTGTAGCAAAAAACCCCTCGTTAGTCCGTTCGCTTTCCCGAATGCACTTCTCCGTGAGCAGCGGGAGCGATAGCGAAGGACTCCCGGAACCACTGATGGATCACACGCTTTCTGCGTGCGGCGCTTTGCCTTTGCGTTAATTTCTGAGTGCCCTCTTGACGGCACCGCTCCATCACACGCGACGTACAGATTTCCAGTCCCAACCTTACTTCGAGGTTATAGGTCAGACCTACAGTAGCATTATTCACCTCTCGGTGATGTCAGAGGAGAACAACAGCTGGATTCCAGACCTCTGACATCAGCCTGACCTGAAACCTCCTCGCCGCAGCAACTCGAAGGGGCTCCCGAACACCAATGGGCCAGAACCGGAGCGGGGCAGCGTGTGCCGCGGCCGGA